CGGTGCTACATGCCCCTCCAGGCTGGCTGCTGACCCCATGGGGATGGTACCCTGGTCCCAGGCCCCCATGGGCCTGTTCTCCTGGTGACACCTAAAGGGAATAAGTTTAAGGGCCCTTCCAGGGTCCCGGCCTGCTTTCGGCTGCTCCCCTGCAAGACGCGGGCTGCTCAGTCCAGCCTTGTCCCGCTGCCGGGGGGGCCTGTGCTGATGCCGCCTCTCCCGTCTCCGCAGGCATCGGGCCCACTCTGGGTGGCGAGATCGTCTCCAGCATCAGGAGGAGTGTGAATAAGGCAGTGGGATCCCTCCAGAGCCTGCTGGAAGGTAGCGGCCCTGTCTCCGCGGGTGCTGGTGGCTGTGCAGCTGGCCTCCCTCCACGGAGACCCTGGAGGCTTATGGGGGGGACGTGGGGGGCCGAGATCTGGGGTGGGTGTGTGCCTGGTGGGCTCCCAGCAGGTCTGGGTGAGGCTCCCAGGGAGGAGTCTGTCTGGCCCTCCCAAGAGATGCTGGGAAATCGGGGTGGCATCCCTCTAGCGCATTTTGGGATGGCTCTCTGAGGGACAGCGGGAGGGGACAAGCCACTGCTGCACTGGCAGGGGGAGACCTGAGTCCTTGCTGCCTCCCTCAGTGATGGAGAAGCTGGCTGCTGCCTTCAGCCGCATCAACAGCACTAGCTCGCGCCTCAAGGAGCTGCAGAGCAACTACAGCCAGAGGTTGGCCAGCCTGCGGGACAGCATCAATCACACCCTGCAGGACTGCGGGCAGCCCTGCAGCAACGTGTCCCTGGACAGCCTCGGGTTCAAGGCCAACTTCAGCGTGGTATGCAGGGGCCAGGTGCTGGGAGAGGGGCTGGAGCATCACACCACCACCCTATGCCGGCACCAGGGCTGCGTGCAGCCCGGCATCCACCCTGCACCCCCAGTTACCCCAAGATTTTCCCCCCAGATCCCCAGTGTGGACCAGCAGCTGAAGGCTCTGGAAGATGTGTCCAGCTCCAACCTGGTGGCCACTTTGGAGCAGGTGATGGGTCCTCCCTGCCCAGGCACAGGGCTGGGGCCGTGTTGGGTGCTCCTGGGGCTGTGGGGTGCATGCACCTGGGGCAATGCTGCAGTCGGTGGCCGTGCCAACAGGGCATTGCTGTTGCATGGAGGAAAGGACTGGCTGAAGACCAAGTCCTCCTCATTTTGTGCCTGCCCAAGGTGTCCTCTGGTGCAATATAGAGCTGTTTGGACTTGCCTAGGTCTGTCTTCCCTGCACGGCCGATTTGCCTTGGTCGGTATCTACCTGCAGTCCCCACCACGCTAGGGCCCTGGGATGGTGGGAGCTGGGTGCTGCGGGGAGGCTGGCTGTCCTGTGCCACCACGGTCTGCAGAGGGCTGAGGGTATGCTCAGCCCTGGGCTCCGGCAGGGTTGTGAGCTGTACGCTGTCTCCCTCTGGCCGCAGGTTAACCGCACGCTGAACGAGACCTCTGACAAGGTGCAGGAGCAGTCCCAGGATGTGGTGACAAGTAAGCGGGGCTCTGTGGCCAGTGTGCCCAGCTCCCCCTCTCCGGCAGCTCCCTCCTCCCCCTTCCTAG